ATGCTGTCGTACTGGAAAATCGCGTTATTATCTGTGCTAACCATTAACAGGGTGCAACGAATAAAGCGACTTCTGAGTAAACTTGACCACGCCAGCTCGTTCCAACCTTCATGAAAATGGCTCTCCAGATGTGCACTGAACGTCCACTATGTTGCTTTGTTGCTATCGTTATGTCATATCATTTGCTCGTGTTTCATACACTTCCAAACATACCTTGAACTGTCATACTTGAATGACGAAGGTCCTGATTTATCGATTCAAGTGACCAATTATCATTGTTCAAAAGGCATCTGACTACCCACTTGAAAGGCATATTTTGGTAACACTCAACCAACGGAGGAACAATATTGCCCTTCCTCAATCGAAATCGATGTATTTTTTTGGAATGAACTATAGACAATGAGCATGGGAAACTCGATAGCCTGATGGGTTATCGAGCACAACTTTTGCATAGAACCGATCAAACTCTAGAACTCTAAATATGCATCTGAAATCCCTTTGTGGAGTCTACCACTCCGTGTGCGTTGCTCATAATCACCTCTCATTTTCAACTGATTAATCCATCCACCTCTATATCGACAGAGCAAAGTACTTTTTAATCTCGCGGTGGGACTTCCCACATTCGGTTGCAGATGAGATAAGTTTCTTTCTGTGAGCACTACTTGAAATCAGAGAACGTCAACATGGTCTGGGTCAGGGGGAGTGGACAGCGCGCACCAGACCGGAGTAGACCCCTGGTGACAGATGTGTTCAAAAATGAATTGTCCTCAGATTCAGATTTTAGTCAAATAAAATTTTTTAATATCTCTAAAAGAAGTGAATAAGTGAGGACTTGGTAGAGATGTAGGTGATGGTCGAACTCCTACATAGGCTGTCAACCGATTGACGATTAGTTCAAACTTCGCCGCAGCCGCCCTGCTTTCTCACCCGTGGACTGTAATCCTTCCCTTGACGGCATCCCCCTCGTGTGTGAAGCCATCTCCGTTTTCCATATGATTGCTTGCTAGAAAACCAATGGAGGGAGGGGAGCGAGAACAGAAATAAATGCGTAAACCATAGTGATAAGAGTTTCGATGTCCCCTGAATAACGCAAAATCGAACACCGGCTATTTTTGGATCCCGGTATTTTCTGTTTCAAAGGAAATTAACATAAATTTAACTATCTTCATTCAATGTTTGACTTATTTCTGTTCGTTCAATAGTACACAGTTCCAGAATTTTATTTTGGAACATATTGGAACATATCAATGGAAAAAGCATCGCAGTGCATAGTAAATGTTATCAGATATTTCCGTCCGATCTTTGAAGAAGTCATTTTTTCAGTCAGTTTATGGAGAGCTTAATCTTAGCTAACGTTATGTGGAGAGTCTGTGCCCACAATCAAATTACGACTTTTCGCTACCAAAGCTTTGAACACCGGTATACGTTTCTGTCACGTACGCATTCGTTCATCAGCTCCTGTTGATCGTTCAATCACGTGATACACTTGTTCATGACAGACACTGACCAATAAACCTCCAATCTGTTTCTTTCCGTGAACCAGCTTGACCTAGTTTTAGGCCATCCTTTGATCGATTGATGTATTCTCAGGATCATTCATTAAATCGTTAACCCGGTTCCGATCAGCCCTCTAACTTGTGGTTTATGATTTCTTGTGTTGTGTTACGGGCCTCCAAAAAATACTGTGCATTAGAGTCACGCTTGAACGCGGTCTTAACAGTGTCCATTCTTTATTAGGAAGTACCTACGATGCATCGATAAGATGTTCACCGAAATAAAAAAGCAAACATAAAAGATTTTTATTCCCGGAGGGCTATCCGATAGTGATAGCGCGTATGATGTGCTAGACGGTCGAGTTTATTGTGGCACATTCTATCCACTTTTACTTCTATCATTTACGCACATTTCATCAGTGGCTCTAAGGAACCGAAGCACACATCGGCAAACAGCCCCCACCCCGTCAAACCGTTCACCAGGCGAGTTAAATCATGTGTTGAGTAACAACGACATAAAATCCCCGACCAAATGGCATACAATATACGAAACTAACTACAGTATAATGGGCCGAGGTGGTCCAATGCATAACCGAGTATACATTTATATTTTATATATTTCACACACGCCTGAGGCCAGACTGTGTGCCGAACAAATCCTGGTGCAATAATCTTCGAAAAAAGAAAGTTGTACCACGAGTTGCACGTGGGCTGGATACTTCCAGGTACTTATCTGATCCAATGAGCCAGTTGAAGTAAAGTGGAGTAAAAACACTTCTCATTCACACTAACGGCGCAGACTCTCGTGTGTACATGTTTCGTATTTACATCACACAGTGTCTATCCCTGTTTTGAGTCTCGACAGGTTCCGTTGATGAAATCAGATTGGTTGCTGATGCTTCAAAATGAAGTTTGCTGAGTAATCAGGTCGATTAATTGATGATCAGTTGGCTCAAGTGATTGGTACCGACATGGTCCGGGCTCTAAGTCTGATTTTCAAACCCATCAACATTCAATATTGGTAGCTCTATACCACGTCTTTCTTATTTGGACCTTATGCAATTCATCAATCAAACCCAAAGGATATCAGTTACCGGCTGCCGTAACCGAAAATTTAGTCCGCCTGACCACGGCATTCATCCTGTTCATGTTTTTCAAAATACAACTGTAGAAAAAAAGTGAAGAAGTGACAATCGTGTGTACATACCAAATGGCAAATGACATCGCGTTTTCAAGAAAACCTAATGTGGTGAACAAGACTTACCTAAAGCGATCCTGCTTATCTGGTTATTACTTCACAAGCATTGACGATGTCACCTGGGCTGGTGATGAAAGGTTTGCAAACAAACTACCAAGCTCGGCGAACAGGCGAAATGGAATTCAGTTCACCCGTGCTACGAGAACCAATTTTCAATATTTTGTCAATCTCACAGTATAACATATCTTCAGGATAACAAAAGGCGGAGGAGGAACTAGCATAGAAATACGGATTAAACAAGGCAAGGTAATTATTGTCCCTCGTTTACGGTTTGTTGTCCAGAAGAAATTTGATAACAGTCAGGATAAACCAGAGATAGCGGGGTGAGCAGATATGTATTTCACGTAATAGTTGCAGATCAGGAAACGAAGTCGCACTCAAAATCGGTCGCCGAAATCTCCTGATACCAGAGCACAAGAAGAAAACTTAATGAGTAAAGGTTATTTTATTGGAAGAAATTCAACGGACTAGGTCAAATGGAAGATCATTGGCTGAACATATATTAACCAACGAGTGTTCGTGTTCCTTTAATCTCACCGTTATTGAAACACATCGAAATGGATTGGTCCAAGATATCGTATTCCTATTGGTTGTCGTATAGTTCTCTGGCTGGCGTATTCTGTGAGTGTTGGATCACCAGCAGTTGGCCGTGGGAGACCCAGTGGCTATTCACAACCTGTTTTTTTGCATAAACCCACTGCCTTTATTGTCATCAGAACGTGGAGCTTCAATCGCTCAGGTTGTTGCTCATGGACACACGGTACAGGGGTGAAACGACCTAGTCAAGTTCACTGCGTGACCGAACACATCGTGATTTCACTGTGCGATCAGGTCTGTGATGCTCGAGAACTTGTTGAATCAAGCGTCTATTCGAATTGAAAGAATTAACCGAAAATTTAGTTATGTAAATAAGGCTTTTGTCTTTCAGTTGTAGCTCTATGAAGAGTGTGGACGCAGATGTGGGGCGGAGTCCATTCTCATATTGTGTTTCATTGATTACTGTCGTCCGTGGCCGAGTGATCATCTGCATCATAGTGCCACTTGTTAATGTATGATGTAAACCTACAAATTTGCTCTCGCTTTCCTGATGTTTCGAAACTCTGCGCACAAATCTACCTGGTTGTTAATTTTACTGAAAACATGATGTAAGAATTCTGATTCATTTGGCGCATGTCACGGAAGCAAAGTTTCTGAGCTCCGTTGTCAGGATATTGAATCAAGTTTTGCTTTCGTTTGATTGGTACAAATTATTCAAAATAACTGTTATAACTTGACCGCACGGATTTCTTTAAATCACGTGGCGACTAGGCCCATTTTCGGTACGTTTTCAATACGTATCACCAAATAAGGTTAAATTTACATCACTTCAGATTTTAATAATGGTTATTATTGTGCGACCCATAAATTTTCACTCTTCGAGTCAATCAGTTCGTTTTTCGGATGCGTCTTTGATTATCATACGTATTGTCATCATTGTTACGGATATTATTCAAGTTTTGCATGTCCCAAATCCACAGAACTGTTACGTGAACAGAGTGAAATAGAATATCGATTGCGGCAATCAATTCTAATTAGGTGGTTGAGAACCAATACATTTTGAATATTCGGATAGATGATTGATATGTGGGTGGTTTGTTTCTTCTTTTTTATGAAAAAGGCGCATATAACACAAGTACAAACCGAAATAAAAACAGAATATTTCGACCTGGAACAATAGTGGAAACAAACAAACACAGTGAAGTGACAAAAATAGTAGTGATAATCGGTCGGTAACACAGCGCATGACGATTGGATTGAAGGTAGGGACTGGGATCTAAAGTTTGACAGAGATGCATATTCAACTGAGTTTTCAAGAGATAGTGCAGAAGATGGTGGAAAATGTTGGAACTAGCATATTCTGATAGATAACCAGATAGACAGATATAGAAATGAAAGAAAGATTAGCAGACAATGGTGTTGTTAGGTTTCGATCACTTGTTCTCTTTCAACCAATAAAACACTGCTGGTGAATGGTGTCAAGGTCACAACATATAAGTACAACCCTGTAATTTTGGTATTCGTAGAATTCGTGGTGTTTCTTTCCAAATAAGATCAAAGATGGTGGTGTTTTCTTATCACATTCTATGCATTCGCATTAACGAACAGCAAAATGTAAAAAGGGATGAAGAAAACGCTACATTTTGTCTAAGTGAACATATGGAGAAATTGGTCACAGCTGGTAAGCTCCAACAAAATGAAGACTTGATAGGTCATGGATTCGAGTGATAGAATGGATAGAGAGTGTCTTCATTTTGAGAATCTGCGGAAAACATATGAGAAAACATGTTCCCCATCAGACGAGGGACAAGATCCGCTCGAGTGGCAGACGGACTGGCCGAACTGGCAGTGTTTGTAGATGTGATCTCAGGGGCTGTGCATGAGGAGGGAATAAACGCCAAGCCTGAACGCCCGACCGGATCATTCGAACTAGATGGGGATAGATGCAAACTAGCGTGACCCGTGGTATAGTATCCAGCCGATTCATAGCTGGTGATGTCAAGTGGAATGGAACCACTCACTTGAGCGGAAGACGTATCAAAGGAACTGGATGGACCAATGGAATGTTCAAAAGACTCGTGCGGCACTGAAAAAAAGATATTGACAGTTAAAGGAAGTGATAGTTATTTTGTTATATGAGAGTAATAGAGGATTTTATTCGTTTTCAAAGGGGAAATTCGTCGTGTATATAGCAAATAAAGGGTGAACTGAAAAGCTAGGAAGCACTGCACAGCTGTTTCTACCTGGTTGGGTCTCATCAACAGTGCGAATCCACCGAACCAACTGGGGATCGAACCCGGGACATCATCGGCAGAACGCAAGCTTGCTACCCACTCGGTCAGATCGTTTTTCATTTTCTATTTATGCGATACAGCACAAACAATCTTTGCGAGCTTGTTGTGGGCATCTCGCCTTGCTCATCTCAACACTAGCTTCTAGGGTTATGACTCGGTTTGGAACTTTCACAATCTGACTAGTTGTTGCATGAGAGTGATGGAGGATTTGATTCAATTTCACAAGGGGAAATTCGTCGAAACAGCTGTACAGTGCTTCCTAGCTTTTCAGTTCACGCCTCGTTTGCTATATACACGACGAATGCCCATTTTGAAAGTTTTGTTTTGTTTATTTAATTCGTTCGTGACTGAGTAGACCACTGAGTAAAACACATTAGTATGGATAATAATGATAAAGACAAGGATTGATTTCGGTTGAGCATCCTTCAAACTTCGTATTCACACAAAATTCACAGTTCATCCAACAAGCCATACACTAGGGAAGCCTAGAGTTTCGCTGTCATTAGACTATGCTCATATTTGGGATGCGAATTTCTCACAGATACCTCTAACTCGGACGGTGAATGCTATCGACAGGTGTTATCCCCGAACTTAATGTTCACCTTCCGTGTGTTTGTTTACGAGGCGAGCTAGCATTGCCAGTGGCATACTTGGTACGACCGTAGTGCCTTCAGTGCGACCATCCTACCGAACTCGATATTCGAGGGACCAGTATTTGTAGTTTTGCGCGGTTTACTACGCCTTAGTATACGATCCTTGGTTAATTGCCTTGTTAGTCTGTCAGGTCGGTTAGACAGATTGACCTACCGTGTAACAGGAACGACGGGCGAGATTCGGATTCGCCTGAACTGAATCGCCTGCCCGGATAGTGGACCAGTTCGGAATCGGGTGCGTGTTGATAAGCGTAATCGAACATTGATCCACTCATGTGCGAACGCCCGAATCCAAAGTCAGCCCAGCCAAGTCGAGCGGTGGCCGCGGTGCTCATGTAACTTTCAACCGGATTCTGTTGTGCGGCGGTCGGTTGACGTTGAACATAGGGCACGAACGCAGTTGAGCCGGACATCAGTCCAGTTCTAGTAGTTGATTGTGAAGGTGTGTGGCTCGCACCTGACATTGCTGACGGAATAGCAGATTGTGCCAAATCCCGATCGAATAGACGAGTCAATCCGGTCTGGTCGGATTGGGTAGTACGAGCCGAGGATGAGGATCGCTGCGTTGACGTTGGAACAATTATGCCAACATTTGTGTTGGTATATTCACATACGGATTGCTCATTTAGTCCAGTAGTTGGCACATTGATGGCTGCGGATCCTCTCGAGTATAATGTCAGGGTCGTGGCAGGGTACTCTAATTTATCCTCTCCGGGGTGTATATCACCGGTCATGCCTTCGGGTTCGGTAGTTTGAAGAGGCTCGTTCGGTTTACCGGTACAACGTTCGGACAGATCGTAACCTGAAATTGGAGTAGTTATGCACGGATGCAGCGAAACTGCATTGTTCACATATACCCTGTTTTTGTTTCAGTTGGTTATCAGCAGTGTGATACTTTTTGTCTTGGGTGTGTTTCAGGTTAGTCAACTATGTACATATACTTCGCTGGAGTTCGTGTTTGCCTTGTTGATAAAGTCGTGTATTGATTATTCTAGCTATTGGTTTTGCCTGAATAAAACGGCAGTGCACAGTCTCATTTAATGGTACCAGTTCCGTGTCGCACATGCCTCATATTTCCTTTATATTCTAACAGAATGTTTCATACTTCGTTTCACATGTTTAATGAGTCAATTAAACTCATTCAAACTGCGTCAAACCGCACTTCTTATAATAAACGGGAAATCAACACCGGCTACGCTTGTGTGAGGTGATAAAATCCCAACTCACTCGGGACGTTTTGTTTCGTGTACTCTTTTCAATCGCCAAGCGGGTAACGACATTATCGGATCGAAAATATTTAGTATGACTAATAACTTACCCCTGAGCTACAAGGCCGACGGTCATCACCTTGTGCGAATGGCTCAATCAGTCAAGGCGATGACCGTCGGCTGTGTAGCTCAAGGGTAAGGGTTTGAAGCCCCGACCCGACTGATTGCGGGTCGAGTACTAATATCGACACAAAAATTACGCACTGCTGAAGAGTCCCAAACAGGATGAAACAGCTGTCCATTGCTCTTTGTCGGTTATCACAAACATTTCCATCGCATATGAATGCATTATCTCGTGGGGACTTAACGATCTCCCAAGGAATGAAACCCACACCCAAGACCATCAAGAGTGCCTGGTGACTCTGAACAATCAAACGGGCTAATCCAAGCTTGATGCTCTAAAAATGACTAATAAATGTTTGGAATTCCTCAGTCTCTTCATCGAACAGTTTTCTTATCTTGTTTCGAAAATTAAGAGTGCAGCATGTCAATGAAATCCTCTTGGGCACATCTGAGGGTAGTCTGAGGTGCTTAAATGTAATTGGGAGCAGACAGCCTATTGATCGATTGAGAGTGAACCTCTGAATGGTGCTACTTATGTGACTAGCGATCGAGGACGCTCTCACATGGCTGATTATTGTATATCTGTGTATGTGTTGTTCGTGCGCACCATCAACCGGCACAACCGTTTCGCATTTCACGATAACTATCTTTGTTCCCGATCCATATCCCACCACATTCAAAGATGAAGTGAGTGATAGGTGCAGAGGCTTTTACAATAGGTTTCTGAAATAGTTTCCTATGGGTGAACAAAGCTTTGCAGCAGCTAGGTCGAAAGGAGTGCGGTCCAACGAAAGTTTTGGGGCTATGAGTGAGAAACGGAGGATTTTTAGGTCCTGTTTTGCCCCAGTGGGACTAAATTAGACAGACAAACAGACCGGCCGACCGTGTCATGTCTATGATCTAGACGAGTCAAAAGGACAATCTCACCCGATCAGTTCGGATTCTTACAATCTGCAATAGGCATCGGACTTTCAGGCTCATAGAAACACTGCCGATTACACGTCGTTGAACACCATTGTATGTGCAAAAGAGTGTTGGGTTAAACAAGAAAGGCAAACTATGTCAAAGGACTATAGTGAATTCCCTAACGTTAAATGTTTGTGCTCCAAAGTTATTTATTTAACTTCGTCACACGTTTTGATGTTGAAAAATTTACTCAAAAGGAAGTGATCTCGCAAACTTGAACTTTCGGTGTCCTTTTCGGGTTCTCTACGAATCGTCTTTCTCTATATAGTTCATCATGTGGTTTACCTCACCTGCTAACCTACTGCAATGATCATGCGTAGGCATGAGTATTTGACCTTGCATTTGATTGGTTGAATCCCCCCTTGCGGTGATAGATTGACCTTAGATTAGACGACCATCGTGACCCTTCCACTTATACAGCGCGCTCTGTACCAAATTCCCCTTCTGTTACTTGCAATCTCTCTATAGAAATTGCAATTGCATCTTTATGACATTATTTCGTTGTACAGCGTGTTCTTAGGTTCTTAAGGTTGATCTGGTTCACGGAACACTGATTCCTCGTGACTCGCAAACGTCTCTGAAATGACACATTTCTTCGAGGTTTCGGTCGGTAATCGCGCTAATTGAGTTCATGTCATCAGTGCTGGATTTCTAACAGAATCTGAGATAGTTTTGCTTGATAAAATTCAGCCTTGGGATAAATGTGCGCAGCCAAATTGCACACACACACACACACACACACACACACACAGAGTTTCAGTTTTACATGTGATGCCGCGCAGTCTGAGTAGTTTGGATTTCATTACTGACAAAAAAACTATTTTCTATGCATCTTTGTCCTTCAAGGATTGTTTCATGGTCCTGTTTTACCGATTTTGTTTGTTTGTAACCTCCTCGATTTCACGCCCATTTGTCACAAGCGATCTGCTCCGGATGGTTCTGTGTTGCCAGTGCTGACTTATATCTCGAAGCATAACAACTATGAAAAACCGAATTGTGATCAAAACTCAGTGCTGTGCATGTGTGGTTGTGAAAAATGAATAAATCATCGATCAACCGTTGATAATAATGTCAGCAATGATAACAACTTTACTTTTCATTCTTTGTTTATTCTCCAAAAGAGGATCTGAATGTTTCAACATTTGCAATTTGACTACTATAAATATTTAAGTAGTGTAATTATAAATGACAATATACATCGGTTGAGCTATACTGAACACTGAATGCTAAAGGACATGACCAAATTTGAACGATTATCTATTCAGTAACTTCTCACTTTTGTTCTGTTGTTCTGTGTTTATAATAGTACATTTCTGTTTTGGTTTGGTTGTACCGCAATTTTGCACGTCATTCTGTACCACCACGTCTGAAGTTTTCTGTACGCTGGCGTCAAGTTACCTAATCTTGAGTCTGCTTGAATTTATCGTTTATTGATTGATTACTTTTTACTGTAGAAGCACGGTTTACGTAGAGATAAATTGCCTCAGCCCTCACTGTATTTTCTGTATCCGCTCAAGCCGTGAGTGAGACCATACTTAACAATTTCCAGTTCACCGCTGCCGTCGCCCATTCCTTTCTGTAGTGTATACAATAGTAAAATCAATATATTTGGAAGAAGGCTGCTACCTATCAGAGGCGGTTTGGGCAAATACAGAAAACGGGTAGTACTTTGGAGGGAGAAGGTTCGGGATGCATAAAAACCGGGTGGCAATTATGATAATCCTAACCACATTATCATTGAAGCAACCAAGTTCCAAACCACTTATCAGTGTCAAATCATTGCTCAGGTAACCTGAAATACAGGACTGAAGGTGCTATACTGGTTAGCGCTGAGCTTCTATCTAAGAACTATCCTTTTTCTTTATCAATTTCATCAACACGAAAAAACATGTATGGTCGGAATTATTATTGATCAATTTCGCTTGCTCTCATTCAGCTGTAAACACACATTTAATTGATCACGAAACTAACTCACTTGTCCACAACTATGTTCAAAATACTCTTTTCAACGCCCACGTATCTTTGTGTGACATGATCGTATAGTGAGCACGCTAAACTGATGTCCAACGCAATTTCTGCCCACATATGTCTTCCTGTGTTAATGAAGACTGGATAACTTCTGCATTGATCCAAATTTATTCTTTGTGTATGTTTTCATTTGACAAATTCAGAGACTCACACTTTCGATTTATAATCACCGTGGATTGTCGCCAATCTACGGATGATCGACAGACCGTCTTATACTATCCAGATCAACCATTTTGTTGTACTGACAATAATAATTCATAATTCAAATACAACACTCACAAACGAATTATGAATAGGGCTCGGTACAGTGCCCTAAACTTCTTCGGGGTTAAAATACACTTACCACTCAACAATATATCTGACAAAAGGCCGTCTAAACGGGTCAGACCCATTTGTTTGGCTATTTGTAATCGATCGATCATTCGATATGTTATGGATCGTAGATCCGGCAGTAGGAGAAGTAGCGCGCCAAAACGACCTTGTGGAAGATAGAGTTTGTCATTCATCAAATGCATCAGTTCGGTTTGAATCTGATACTGGCAGGCTCGAGCCACGTGACGTCCGTGATCGCTCAAATTGGAACAGTCTGAGTGAACGGAAGAGAAAGCAGTGTGTGTGTGTGTGTG